TCTCTCTCTCTCTCTCTCTCTCTCTCTCTCTCTCTCTCTCTCTCTCTCGGGGTGTGTGTAGAAGTAACCGCAGCAGCGAGCACTCCTGGTGCCCAGATCGCAGTTTCTAATCATGTCCAGTTAGAGGACCTGGGGCTCCTCGGGGAAATGGTGGATTCCAGGCCTGGATCAAAAAAAGTACAGGATGAGGCTGGAGGGTCTTGTGGTTCCCCAACCTAAGGGTGTGCTTATAGGAAACTCACATTACGGGCTGTATCAGACGGACACAGGAGCCACCGAAAGGGTTTCCAGTGGCCAAAGTTCAGCGGTTTTAGCAGCAAAGTAAGTAAAGCGGACTGGATTTACAGCCCAGAGTAGAACATAAAAATCTGTGAGTCCATTTGATTATAAGCAAATGATTGAATGACTAAGTAAATCAGGGGAAGGGGACAAATCCCTATGCAGAATTCCACATAAATTATGTAGCCAACTCTGACCTTGAGGGGTGGAGCCTGACTTCCGTTCTGCAACCGGGGCTGTGCACAGTGATGTCCTTCCCCAGAGGACTGTGGAAAGCTACAGGCTGGGGCGGGGGAGGGGAGGGGGGTGACAGCCAGGTGACCAGGATCAGCAGCAGTGGGAAGTCATGGCACCAGCATGCACCCCTGGTGTGCTGCAAGGGAAGGGCACTTTACCCGTGGGGCCCACAGCCCCGTGCAGTGCTGAGAGACAGATCAGACACATCTCAGGAGACCCAAGATGCAGCGCAGCTGAGCAGCGACTTCTCTACTCCTGAGGGGCGTCAGAGATGGGGAGTCTGGGCCAATGCAGCTGACCTGACGCTGAGGACTCAGGGCTGGGAAACCTTGGTTTCATTGTTGGAGACACTCAGAAAAGTTTTTAAATGGTAGCACCCGGCTGGCTTGGGCAGCAAGTGTGAATGTGATTCTTGCAGGGAAGTCCGAGCACGTGAATTGAAAGATGATGGGGTTGGGGACACACGGGAACTGTGATGGAACTTTATGACGGCCTCGGGGGGGGGGCCCTCCACCTGGAACAGAGTCGCTGCAGAGCCATGGGCGCTCACGACAGTTCTTGTTAGAGTGGTCAGTTTTTAACATTCAAAATCTATTCTTGGTTAATAAATCATTACTAATATTTTTTCATTATATCTGCTCAATGAGGTCAGAATTGAACGGGTCATAGTTCTGATTTTCTTTGAGGCTCATCCGAACAAAGGCCCCCAGGGCGTCCACCCCAACAGGAAGGCAGACCACAAGCTTGAGGGGGCTGTGCGGGGCGTTGTAGGTGGCGCCTGGCTAGTTCTCACACGACTCCCTGTTCCTTTTGCAGAGAGTCAAGAAAGATGTGGACAGAGGCACCCAGCATTCAGATATGTTCCTGTTGCAGCCTGAGGATGGAAGAGAAGGTACATGCACTGGGTCATGGGGGTGGGCCACAGGCTCCTACAGGAAGCAGGGCAGAGACCTGAGAGCCCCTCCTGCTCTGTGGTTGCGGGGCTGGGGGAAGGGAGGGTGGCAGCGAACCCCTGCACACTGTGCTGGAGTCATGGGCAAGTCCTCACCTGAGCAGGCAGGCCAGGTGCTCATGAATAACCCTAAGTGTCTGCACAGCAGGGACAGCCGAGGAGTGATCACCCTCAGGTGTTTGGGACGGCAACCTCAGAGCAAGTGGAAGCCACCGTTTGTCAGCCGTTCCCTGACTTGTTCTCACTCAAGAGCAAGTGGCTGCTGGATGTGGGATTTGGGCATGGTTGTTGTGGGTCAGCGGCCCCCACGTTTGCTTTCTAAAGCTCAGAAAGTCAGGTGGTGGCCGGTGAGACTTGGGATGAGTAGGCTGGGCTAGCTAGACTCAGGTGATCCAGTCTGGTCCTGGGTCTGCTTTGGGACCTGCAGCAAGCCTTTCCACCCGCCCCATGAGGCTGTCTGCTGTAGAATGACGGGGCTGCTCCACACAGCACCCTTCCGTCTCTCCCACCCTAACCTCTGTGAAGCCGGGCACTTCTCAGGAAGTCAGCCACGCTGCCCAGTGACCAATAAGGACATCTGCCTTTTCCTCAGTGGGCACCAAGGTTTGGAGTCAAGGAGAAAGCTGCCTGGTGTGCACATCAGGGAGCCGGAGCTGGAACCGGACCCTGAGCCTGTGTGCTCAACGTGTGCACCTGGGCATCAGACCCTCGACCGCCAGCAAGAAGTATGTGGTGCGTTGTGAGCTAGGGCCCTCTGGTGTTTTTCCTCCTCTGTTTCCGTACCACATTAACATGCTGGCTGTGAGCAGTAGTCCTCGTGGCCCAGTACTGGGTGCCCCCAGAGTCGCACCTGTGCTCTGTGCTGATGAACAACAGGTGGGCGTGACATGGTACCACGTTGGCCATTTGTTGCTTCTGTTCAGTTTTCCTTAAACGTTCAATAAAAGGACAGTCTCGGTTCTTTTTTCTAGATGTGGTGGGAAGATATCCTCCACGCTTCACCCTAGGTCATGTTTTGAGCGTTACCACGTTCATCAGGCACGTGCCGAGCGAGCGCGCGCGCGTGTCGCCTGCAGGAGCGTCTGCGGTCCTGAGCAGGGCGAGAGCTCACAGCCCGCGTGGAGCAGCTCTCTCGGTTCTGCGGCCCCCCTGCAGGGCCTGGCGCGGCGTGAGGCCCTCCTAGCACTGCGGCCTGCCCACCTCCATCTCCGCCGGGCCTCAGAGCCAGAGCTGGGGTGTGGTTGGCCCAGGGGCTGTCTGCAGGGCGTGTGGAAACATTACTTAGTTCGCGCAGGACCTTCCGGAGCAGGCTGAGGCTCGGGGGCGTGTTGGACTGTTTCGTTTCTGCCGAGGGCTCAGAATGCCTGAACCTGATGCCCTTTTGTCTGCAGTCCTGTGTTTGCGCTTGTCCCGTCCCCCGGGGTCGGTGATCCTGGGTGAGCCCGTGGCCGGCACACCCTTACCCTGTGTTCCCGCTCCTCCAGCAGGCAGGTGGGCGTGGACCCGGATTAATCCTGCAGGAGCCAAGCCCACTCCGAGGTCTGGCTTTTCGGTGGCTGTGACCCCAAACCATCAGACGCTGCTCTTTGGGGGAGTGTGTGACGAGGAAGAGGAGGAGAGCCTGGAGGGGGACTTCCTCAACGACCTGCATTTCTATGATGCCACCAGAAACCGCTGGTTTGCGGGGCAGCTGAAGGTAGAGCCGGGCCTCAGAGTGCGCACCCCGTTGCAAGGCTGCATCTGCTTTCCTTCCGCCGCGTCAGCCGGTTCTTCCCCGAGGCTTCAAGCTGCCCGGGCCTCCCCAGTTCCTGTGTGTGTGGGGCCCGTGGGAGCTCTCGGCATCTTTACTGTCGCCGTGGGCAGGGACGCCTGCGTCCCTCCCTCCACTCCACGGCGGCACTATGGGTGGCTGTCCCAGCAGCGGGGTCCCCTTGGGGCTTCAGGTCTAGAGGAGTTGATGGGGTCAGTGGCCCTGATGCCAAAGGAGGTGGCCCACTCTGGTAGAGACCCCACTCTGGTTGCAGAGCCTCTGCGGGAAAACGGGTGGACGTGCGGCCAGTGTCTGGATGCGTGGCCCTCCCTGCCTTTTTCTTGGAGGGGTCACACGCAGGCAGAGGCTCTGTGCCCCCAGGGTGAACCGCAGCAGGTGCTTCACCCCTGTGGCCTAGCCCCTTTGGGGCTCAAGGATGCTGCCTGCTCACTGCTGTCTGCTGCTAAAATGCATGGCCTTGCTTCTTCTCAACAGGGACCTAAGTCAGACAAGAAGAAACAGAGGAGGGGCAAAAAAGCAGAGCCCGAAGGTGCTGACAAGCAGGAGCGTGGGGGGGCCGGTGCCCAGGAGCCGCTGGAGGTGGTCAGAGAGGTGGTCACAGAGGACGGGACCGTGGTCACCATTAAACAGATGGTGGCTGCCCCGGGCTCGGCTGGACAGCCCCTATCTGACGAGGAGGACAGCCCTGACGAAGCCGGCGGCCCCGTGGTGGAGCCGAGCCCCCGCTCGAACGCCATGCTGGCCGTAAAGCATGGGCGGCTCTACCTCTACGGAGGCATGTTTGAGGCAGGTGACCGCCAGGTCACCCTCAGTGACCTCTACTGCCTAGATCTCCACAAGATGCAGGAGTGGACGGTCTTGGTGGAGATGGATCCAGGTGAGCTGAGGTGGAGGTACGCTCCTCCTCAGGTTGGGGCGGGAACCCCGTCAAAGCGTCTCTGTCACATCTGCCTGCAAGCAGGCGCCCCCTCAGATCTGCCCTGTGCCACTGAGCCCGTGGTGGGCAAGGGGCCACGTCCTCTGTATATCCATCCCTGCTCTGGGAGCGGAGGGGGGTGGGCTGCCTACTCCAGCACTCTGATGAGCCTTAGACCTGTCCTGGTGCTGCTCAGAGGGGCGTTGTACAGAACAGCTCTCACAGAGCCCCTCGTCCGGGGACAGCCGCCTCTGAGCAAGTGAGGGCGGGGCCGGCCCAGGACCTGGGGGCACCTCCAGGCCTCCTCTGCTCTGGTCCAGACTGCTGCGTCCCTCGCCTCCGTGTCCTACCCCGGCAGCTGCTGAACACAAGCCACCGCTCCTTCCTTTAAGCCCAGAAACCAGAGCAAAGTTAAAATCCACACTTTTGGGGAAAGTTCCTCTGTGGCCGGTGCGAGACTCCTGTCCTGCAGCGAGACCAGGCTAGAGCTGGGGAGCAGGAGAGCACTCTGCGTGGGTCTCGTGTCTTTGCCCGTCAGTGTCTTTCACCCCACCTCCGCCCGGGGACCGAGAGAAAACGCGTTTCCTCAGAGCGTGCGGTGGTGCCGGGGCTCGGGCCGCTTCCGCACCGAGAGTCTCGTGAGGGCGCTGCCCCGCCGCGCGGAAACTTGGAATGTGCACTTTTGCTTTAAAGGAGCTCAGGAGTGGCTGGAGGAGACGGGCTCCGGAGAGAGCAGTGAGGAGGGCGAGGGCGCCGAGGACAGCGGCGGGGAGGCCGGGGGTGAGTGTGGCACACGTGCCGGGGAGGGGTGGCAGGGGGTCGCTGGGCTCCCAGAGTCCTAAGTTTTACTGGTAATGAGAGACTGGAATGCTTTCCTGAGGTTTTATTAAAATTTGGCTTTGCTTTGTAGATGTGCTCTCAAGGCAAGCTTAAGGTTTTGAAAGAACACTTGTATGTGGAGTGCAGTGAGCGGCGCCGTGTTGGCTTCTTGGATGGAGTGAAGAATGCCCTCGCCATGTGGTTTCTTTAAACGCGGTGCCCGTGCTCGCCCCGTCAGGCGGTGAGCGGGTGGCCTCTGGAGCTGCCAGACCCAGGCCTCCGTCCTGGGCTCAACGTGCTTGCCTCCTGCCCCTCCTTCCCCGCGGAGCAGCTCCTGCACGCACGGTTGGGCCCGCCGAGCGGCTTGCAGACGGCCTGCCCGGGCTCCAGCGGTATCGGGTAGGGCTCACCCTGGACAACGTGGGCCCCCACGCCGGGAAGGGAGCAGCCCACGCTGTGCCAATCGCTTTGTGTGATGACCTGGCCTGAGCAACCTCTCCTCCCCCCACCGCCCCCAGAAGTTAACCTGAGTGAGGTGCAGTTGCCTTCCCTCAGTATTGCTGGGTGTGGTTTAAAATAAAGCGGCCTTGGGGCACAGCCGCAGCAGAGGTGGTGATCTGTGCGGCCCCGTTTGCCCTGGTGGTGGTGGCGGGGCCCCCTGCTGCAGGCGGCACCTGGAAGATGAGGGGGCACGCGGGTGCTTTGTGGGCGGTTTCCCTTTGGCCAGACAAGGAGCCGCATGTCCTGGTTGATGGTACCTTGTCCGCCTGTAGGTCTCTGATTTCTAGAAGTTCTTGGTGGCAGCCCGCCGACCACCTTTACACGCTTTGTGTCTCTGCCGATCTTTGAAATAAAGTTCCTGTTGGCTGGGCGGTTCTGTGTGTTCTGTGCGGCTGGCTGTGCTCGGGCGCCTCTGAGTGAATGTCCCCGACTCCTCAGAACTGCTCCACTAGCCTCTTTCAGGAAGAGATGCTAGAGCCCCTCTCTGCTCTTTCCCTTTCAGGCTCCAGGCTGTCATTGGCAGAGTGACAGGAGGACGGGAAGCCTGGGGTCAGGGACCCCACTGTCTCCACGTGGTGCTGCTGTCCAGCGCCTGTGGAGTGGGGGGTCATCACGGTGGCAGCCTGTGGTGCGTGCACATACGGAATGGTGCCCGCTCCAGGGTGCATGGCTGGGGTCAGCATTTGGGCCCTGAAGTCACACCTGGTACCTTTCTTCATCTTAAATACCTGCTACGACGAGAATGTGGTATTTTTAGTTTTTAGCGACAGGGCCAACATCCCCTTTGTTCCCTGGAATAGGCTATCCCCATCATTGCCTGGATGCTAACAGACAAGAGTGGCAGTGCGCACTTCTGGCAGAGCAGGGCCTGGCCCGAGAAGGTGGTCATGGAAGGACAAGGGCTGACCTGCCCCAGAAACGCCCCTCTCTCACCCAGCCTTCTCACGCTGCTCAGCCCCCACCAGCTTCGACAGTGGGCCCTCACCCATCAGACTGGCAAGCCTCTGGAATGGAGCCTGGAGGGGGTGGGCTCTCAACCGCAGACTAGAAGTAGGACCCTATCCCCTGACGGTGGCCTGTCTCTCGTCTGCCTGCCAGAGCCCCACTCTGGGGGCCATGCCCATGGGAGCTCTGGCCGTCAGAGAGGCCAGGCCGGGGGTCAGGCGTCATGGCACCCTTTCAGTAGATGTGGGCTGGGTTTGGTAGAAAAGCTGGGTGCTCGGGCTCCAGTGGCGTTATTTGTGGCCCTTCCCTTGGATGCTGGGGCAGTCCGGGTCTTCCTCGGACACTCGGGGCAGAATCTTGCTGCAGGGTCCTCAGGCGTGGCTGATGGGATGCCGTGGCTCGTTCCCGGGACCTCCCGGGTCCTCCTGGGGCCCACTCTGCCCGCTCCCGGCACGTGGCACTCAGCCCCGGCTATGCGGCCCAGCGGTACAGCTGCTTTAGGAGGAGCTTGTTGGCTCCACCTCGGCTTTCTGTTGTCAGAGGCCAGAGTGTTCCTGATTGTGTCTGTGACAGAGCAGGTTTGAGGGAAGAGGGTGTTTGTTAATCAGCCAAGTTGAAAGAGAACTCACAAATCCCCTGAAGAAACTTCTTGTACAAACAAGTCTCTGTTTTGCTGTCATGTCCATAGGGTTATTGCTAAAAAACTCAGTTTGAGTGGACCAACAAGAATAAATAAACAAGTTCCAGAGAAGGAGCTGTGCCTGCTGCTTAATGCTGTGATTGAAGCACCAGGACGGGCGCACCTTGGAGGTTCAGCAGTGGGAGAGGCAGCGGCGCGCTCTATAGGATCGGGAGAGTGTGCCAGGAGCAGGACCAGCACACCCACCCTGCGGTCTGTCGGTGACTCTTGTGCCCCACTGACTCTTCCGGACACCCTGATGCCCACCACAGGCATGAGTGGCCAGTACGAAGCCCAAGGCCTCCATTCCCTGCGTTGCTGGAACCAGAACAGCTGGATACAGCTGTATTCCGAGTCAGCGAGGGCCCTGCAGTCACACGTCCTGTCTTGTCTGTCCCTTGGTTGGCTGAGTTGTTGGTAAGCCCCCGTACCACCGGCCGGGTTGTTGGGTTCTGCCCCTTTCTCTTACGGTGCCCATCTGCTGGCCATGCCCTCTCAGGCACCAGCAGAGCCCCTTGGTGGGGGATGGGGGGTTTTGAGTGTGAAGACTTCTGTACCCTCCCTGAGTCCCCGGGGCAGCCGAGCCGCTGTCTGGGTCATGCAGGAGGAAGATGGATTCCAAAGGGCTGGTCTGCGATGGTAGATTTCTGGGGTTGGCTTGAATGGAACAAACATCCTTACCATTCAGAGTGTTTCTCCGTTTGTCTCTAAAAGATGACAAGAGTGGTATTTATTGCAGTTCGACACATTTTGGGTTCCTTACCAAGTTGTACAGACAGGGAGTCAGTGGCTAGCTGACAGTAGAGACACACTGAGGGGCCAGAGGCTGGCCAGGGCCTGCTGGTGACAGATGGTCTTCTCAGGGCTGTCCCCTGGGGCTAGAGGGGCCCTTAGGCTGCCACCCAGGAGAGTTTAGGCACAAGCTTGGGTTCAGATCGGGTGACCCAAGTGAGGTTCACACTTGGGAACCAGCCCCCCCCCCCCACGTGTGTTGGGGTGAGGAAGAGGTGACACGGTGTTGACTGGGGTCTGGGGAGGGGCAGCTGCTTCCTAGGGCGGGGGTGGGGGGAACGTGCCCCACTTCAGCTTGAGGGAGCATGAACTCCATCTACTGTCCACTGCTTACTTCCATGAGCACTGAAGGAGCTTTCTAGTAACTACTGCTTTCCCGGGTGTTCTGAGCCAGGAAGCAGGCTGTGTGCAGACCTTTGGTCACCAGAGACCAGTGTTGTCTTACTGGCCCATGTAGCTCCTGAGAATAGAGCAGAGGCATCTTCATTTCTGTTTTGCGAGAGAGCTTTGGCAGTGCTGGGTTCAGGCTGGGCCTGGCCATCCACCAGTGGTCTGACCGTTGGTGTCCAGCGGGAAGCTAAGGCACTGACCGGCGCAGCCAGTGGCCAAGGACATAAGCCATCGGGGTCTGAGGAGCCTTCACGGGCACAGCCAACACTGGGCCTGGGTTCCTGGTGCCGAGCAGGCTTGGGACCCTCTGGACCAGACCTGCTTGTGGAGCTGGGCAGCCATGTGCCCAGCCTGGCTCTGGACTGGGGAGGCTGGCCTAGAAAGGCCCAGGTGTGTCTGGGGGGCATCCCGAGATGGGAGAAACTCTCATCGGAAAGAAAGGCTGAGTAAACTCCCCCCATGAGACACTTAAATCAAACTAGGTTTAGCACAGCAATACCGTGAGGCCCCTGGGGCAGAGCCTGTGGAGGGGAGTGTGCGGGGCTGCTGGGGCCGGCTTTGGGAGGAGGGGGCGCGCTTCGGGCTGGGGAGCCCTCCTGCCCGGGACCTAGGCTGCAGGGCTGCCGTCGGGGGAACACAACCTCTGCCCCAAGAAGGAATTCCATTTCTCCGTCTCAAAATTTTGGCATTAGGAGATTTTAGTGAAGACCTTGATCTGTAATGAGATGATGCAAGGGACCCAGAGTTTTCAAATGATGATGTTTATTACTAAAAGGAGCAAAATTATTTTAAATCTTGACAGTGTCCCTTGCTTTCAGATAGCGAAAGACATAATGGTGTGACTTAAAGTGTTACATTCATTAAGGAAAAGTATTTAAGTTTCACTTTGTAAGTAACCAAGCTATTTTTCCCAGCTAAAAGATAAAATGGCGAGGTAACATTTTTAGCCGCTTCATCAATAAGAAAAATCAAAACATAGTCAACATTCCTTTTTTGTCAATGCACAAACGATTGCACTGTATTAAAGTTTACATGCACCAGGGAAGAAAGTGAGAAAAGAAAATGCAGATTGAGACCAATTTATGTTAGAATTCACAAAAAGGCATCTATGTCAGGGTGAGTGGTCTCCGGTCTAGTGTGAGGGCGAGTGTGCATGTGCCGCTCACCTGAGCAGTGAGGGCCGTGTCGGTTTTATTTCAATCAGGCTACAGCGGGTGGTGTTTCTTTGGACGTGGTGAATGGTGCAAATAAGCCAAGTCCGGCTGTCGGGTTTGGCTCCGTGCACGGGAGGCTCCAGCAGCTGGGCGGTCCCTGACCACGCGTGAGCCGCAGAGTGCCGGTGCTCTGCAGCACGGGGCCCGCCCACCACCAGCGGGCATAGGGCAGAGAGTGCAGGCCACGCTGCTCTGGTGGCGGCAGTGACAGTGCTGAGGAGGGCAGGGCCCCGTTGGGGCGGACGCCCCACCTCCTGCGCCCGGACCCGTCTTCTCCCCGAAGCCAACCCCACGTGGAAGCCCCAGCTGGCTGACTGGAGGGCAGCCCTCCTCCTGGCTCCTGCCCTTCGCAGGTGGGTGGTGTGGGTGCCGCTCACTGAAGAGCACTTCGCTGCGTGGTGTGGGGTGCCCTGGGGACTGACAGTGTTTAGGGAGGGAGACCCCTTCAGGCGGCGGGTGTGCTCTTGGCCTCATGGTTGAACAGTGATGGAAAGCCCTTCCTCTGTGACGTGTGTCCTCACACAGGAAGCGCTGGGAGACGGTAACTCTGATCTTAAGGGACTTGAAATCTGATCTTTGTAGCAGGCGTGGGATGAATCACCGGGGCAGGTGCTACCAGCACGTGGAGGGGAGCGGGGACCCAGCCAACACCTGCCCTGCCGTCCCTTGGGGCCTCCTGCCCTTCGTGGGTTTGGGCTGTCGCTGTGCCCGTGTCACCAGGTGGTGGTGGCACGGATGGGGAGGGTGTGCGCAGACGCAGCAGTGAGGTGTGAGTCTGGGTCTTCGGCAGGTGGGAGCGGTAGGGGCCGACAGGAGTGAGGTAGGTATGAGGTGTGCTGCTCACTGCCTTCCCTGCTCTGCCATCCCCCGAAGCCCCGGGCCCGGTTCGTGCACCCGGACTGGCCCCGGCCGGGCTGCCTGCTTCTCAGAGGTCGAGAACAAGCTGGAACAACACGTGTTGGCCCTTTTGTATCTCAGGCACCTCCGTGTTGGGGTTTCATGCAGAGGCAGACTGGGAAAGCGCCCGTTGTTCCTAGCTCGTGGGCTGCACTTTTGGAGAAGGCGTAGGGTCCTCAGGGGTCTCCACCGTCCAGGTGCCACACGTGCTGGTGTCTCCTGTCTGTGGCTTTTCACGGAGCCCAGCGTCTGCCCCCATCCTCTCCCGCAGAGGCTCTCGGTGCCTGTGACCCTTGGTCTCCCGAGCTTTCAGACTGTAAAATACAGTGTCATCTTTCTGTTTTTGAACGAAGGTAACTGCACTTTTTCTTGCTGCTTTTAAGGCTGAGTAAGTGACACTTCTCGGGAACGGATCTCAGGGACACTTGGGGACAGATCATTTTTCCAGTCTTTC